TGAGCCGAAGGCAGACGCTTAACCGACTGAGCCACTCAGGCACCCCAGCCTGATGACATTTTAAAGGGATTTTGGTCCAAGTGTCTTGAAAAGGTTCTGTTTGACCCCGTGACTTACGTTGGCACCCATGGCCATCAAAAATGTAATTGCCCTTGAAATTTTAATAGGAGTTTTTTGAACCAGTGGTCTTTAGGGGACTGGGAATATCTCTCACAAACAGGATGGGAACTGACTTAGATGCATGATGATGAGCCCGGCATTGAGAGTAATTTAATCTTTGTACGTTTCATTGCAGTCTTGCGGCAACATCTACAAAGGCCTCGCTCAGACCGGTGCCTGGGGCTGTTTTGATGAGTTTAACCGAATCTCGGTAGAGGTCTTGTCGGTGGTGGCCGTGCAGGTATGGGGGCCGGAATTTGGTGGGGGCCTCGTGGTCTTCTTGCCAAGCACTGTGGGAGGCTGTGTATCCTCTTGCTGTCAACCGCTGCTCCTCCACTTCCGTGTCCCCTTCCCCACTTGGACTCCACGCCCCTCCCTCTGCCCTCTAAACTTGGCCCGGGTGCAGGATATGGGCATCCTGTGGGTCCCTACCAAGGTGAATCCATTTACTGGCCATGGGACCCCCATTTCCTCCTCTGTGACAGGTCCCACATGCTTCCTGGGGGCAAGGAGAGAATCAAACTTGATGGGAGAGCCCAGCTCCTTGGAAAGGCCATGGACTTTGGAAATGTCTTCCTTGTTGTAACTGAATCTGGGAAAGCTGTCTACCTCCCTTGGTCCAGCTCACCTCATTGTATATAAAGCGAGGCTCACAGGGTGAATGTTGCCGAAGGAAGGAAGTCACGTTTGGGTCACATCTACGTGGCCACTTGTGTCTCAGCCCATCCAGAAAGCATCTCCTCCATGAAGCACCCACAGCACAGTGAGTGCTATGCTCAGAACTAGGGGGAAGCATCCCTGCTTGAATAGGACATGATCCCTAACTTCACAAAACAGCGTTCGTTCTCGAGACGGGCACGAGCACCCTTCAGTGCTCTAGGAGCGACTTGATTCCTGACTCACAGGATGGGACACCACTGCCGTGATGTGTTGCGCCTTCTTCAGGGGCAGCAGGAGGCCTCTGGAATTTGCTGCGGGGGAAATGGCCCTCTGCTTGGCAGTGGTTTTAAGGAGGGGCTGAGCGGCGGGAAAATCAGTGGCCGCAGTGAAGTCACTGGTCTCTCGTGAGGGTCCGGATTGGAGCTGCAGCCTCAGCGGGAGCCCCCCAGCCTTCCCTCAGGGCCCCCCAGTCACCCCAGCAAAGCACAGCCTTTGCCAGCACCTGCTCTGTCCTCCTTCCAATAAACTGGGTGCCCCTCTTTCCCACTGGGACCTTGTGGTTTCAGGGCCCCCCAGTGCTACCAGCTCAACAAGGCAGCATAAGGGTCTACGCAGTGAAGGAAGCCATGTGGTGATGGTGCCTGGGACACTGGCATCACTGGCCTCCCAGTTTGTGCCTGCGCTCCATGCGGCCCAACCATATAATGTTCCTCCTGCCCTTTGTCTTTATTTCCAGAGCAACATGTATACAGGACAAAAAAAAGAAAAACAGAGCTAGGAAAGACTCTTTGGTCCCCCTGGGCCTTGGTTTAATTCCTTCAGGCCCAAACAAAGGGTCAAGGCAAAAGCTTAGCTTGACTGACATGTTTCTGGGGGCAAGGGCAGTGGGAGGGGAGGTGGGGGTTGTGCAGACAAAGGGTGGTCCGTGGTGGGGAAGCTGGCAGAAGCAGCATCCTCCTCCCCCTCCTGCTGGCCTGTGCGTCCTGACAGGACCCCCCCCCCCCAGCATGCTGTCCCCATGCCACATACTGTCCCCGTCCACGCAGGCTGGAACAGGAGCGGAGCTCACACCATCCGCTGATTCCATGGCTCACCTTCATCTCCAACTGGGAGCCGTAAGTGGTCGGGGGTTCTGTGGGGTCCCTGCCCTTCACCCTCCCCTCCAAGGTAGTCAGGCTTTCCATCTCTTGCACTGGCCAGCCAGTTGGTGCTGCCATTCAGGGATTCTTGCCCGGACTGTCTCTTGGTGAAGCTCTTGCAAGTTGCAAAACTGTGCAGCTCTTCTCTCGTTCCCAGTGGTGATATATGGTTTTCCCTTTCCTTCGGATTGATTCGGTAGGAGTTGGTGGCAGCAGTAAGTCAAATAGCTGGCCAGAACACTCTCTTAGACTGAAAACCCTCAACTAGCTTGGTTCATGAGTGCTGACTCTCTGCATGTCATTGCTGTTCACATTGGTGGCTCGAAATCAGCTGTGATGGGAGTATTTTTCACGATGGAAACTGGAAAATCCTACAAATCAGGGGCATTTTGTTTTCCTGGCGAGCTGGGTCTTAAATATTTACCAGCACGCCTCTGCCTTGCCAGAATATATGTCAGTGTTGCCAGATTTTTTTAAATTTTAAAGAGAAGCTGGAAGTCCAGATTTTTATTTAAAAAAAAAAAAATCTCCAGGTTTCTGAAAGTTGGCAACTCATTCAATTAAAAAAAAAAAAAAAATGAGTTAGACCAAAACACAGGGTGCTAGTTGCATTCACCTCTGTGTGGTCACTTCAGAACTTAGAAGAACCAGGGTTAACGCCCCCTTTCAGCTCTGTGTGAATTTGGGGATAGAGGATGTGGAGTAACACGAATAAAATAGAGCTTTCTCGGAGCACTAATTCTGGGCCTACGAGGGTTCTGAGAGTCGGGAGAGAAGCTTAAGCTCTTCACGGCCATGAATGTCTGGATTGATAACCATAATTATACAGTGTACCTGGGATTTTTCTCCTTCCTCCACTGCAGACACCTGGCAGCTCATGGAACACCCATCTTTTTTACTCCCTTGCCCATCATCCTCTGTTAGTTCTACCTACTGTAATGTCCACCTCTTTCATCTCTGCTGCTAGGAGTTTCTGCATCCCCTCTTCTGGCTGCTGGCCCCAGATCGCAGAGGGCCTTTCTCGTCCTCACCAGCCAGGTTGTGCTGCTGTGACTGTCCTCCCTGATATCCAGGACCACTTAGCCTGAATAGTTACCCCCCTCCATGGTGCCCCAGTGCAATGGGGTTGCCAAAGGGCCATCTCCTGGTGTCCCTCCAAGGAGCCCTGGGGAAGAGCCAACAGGAAGCAGTGAGAGCCAGACCAGAGTCAGTGTAGAGCTCATCTTGGGCTCCAGAGATTTGGGGAGCAATCCTACATGCAGTTGGGATCTTAAACAGGTTCTTGCAGGGTGGGGTAAACCAGGCAAGGAGGTGGGGAAGTGCTTATGTGTATTGGTCATGTCTGAAACCACACAGCCAGTGCTCAACTCTGGTTCTGCCACCTTCCAGCTGGGTGACTTTTAGCAAGTCCACGTCTCAAGTCCCACATCCGTAAAGAGGGTTAATAATAGTACCTACTAGGTGCAGTTGTAATATTTATTAAATGAGTTAATATGTGTAAAGCACTTAAAGCCCTACAGATAGTAGGCATGCGATAAATATTAGTCTCTGTGATACTGCTGTTGGGGGTGACAGTGTTGATGATGGTGATGACCATGATGATGGTGATGGTGGTGAGGGTGTTGATGATGGTGATGACCATGATGATGGTGGTGGTGATGATGGTGGTGATGATGGTGGTGATGATGGTGATGATGATGGTGATGGCCATGATGATG